CCACCCCCCAACCTCTCTCCTGCTTTCTCTCTCTAATACAAATAAACATTAATAAAATAAAAATAAAATATCAACTGGTATTACTGTGTTGGAATCATATCACTAAGTTGGAATTATATCAAGTCAGTTTAGATATTTTATTTTTTAAATAATAATGAGAACTTTGATAGGCAATTTCAGTATAGTTGTTTTTAATAAAAGTGGGAAAGTTCTTACTGAGTAATTTATTTGATGGACATTCTTTTTTAAATTAAAATTAAAATTAATTACTTTTTAAATTTACATCTAAGTTAGCATATAGTGCAATAATGATTTCAGGAGTAGAATCTAGTGGATGGACACATTATTTTAAAACATGAGATCCTTGAGGAGAAAATGATTAGTAAGTATCTTTGGTGGTACAAAGACAAAAAACTAAAAATTTAGGCAAAGGGAATGTTATTGGAATTTTAAGATCAGAGCTATGAAAATCCCTAACTTATAGCATTATAACAAGCAGAAGATTTTGAAAGACCTACATTAGCACAGCTGGTTAAATCAGTACCAGCATGGGGCTCCTGGGTGGCTCAGTGCCTCAGGTCATGATCTTGTGGCTCGTGAGTTCGAGCCCCTTGTGCTGACGGCTCAGAGCCTGGAGCCTGCTTCAGATTCTGTGTCTCCCTCTCTCTCTGCCCCCCCCCCCCATGCTCACACTCTGTCTCTCTCTCAAAAATGAATAAACATTAAAAATAAATAAAATAAATAAAAAATAAGTCCGTACCTGTGAAGGCCAACAGTCCGATTCTATATGCAGCCTGAGCCCTCTTCTCAATGGCTAGAGATTGATTCTTCAATACACGACCAAGCACCACGAATTTTTCTTTGTGAAAAATACTCTCAACCGAAGGGATATCTTCTTCCTTCTTCTTAATGAAAAAGCGCCTAACAGTGACATTCCAGAACTTCTGGAGGCGCTGATACAGCCCCACAAAATACTGGTAGACCTGAGCTGAAAATTGCACATAATAAGTATGTGCCTTAGACATCGTATGAAAAAGGCCAGTGGTGCTTCAGTTATACTTGTGTTGTGGCAGCTGAAGTCAACAGTCTAGAACTCTGGAATGCATCTCTTAGCGACACTGGAGAATGGAATACACAAATCAGGGGCAAGCAATGGAGGCCTAAATCCTTCAGGCCGCCATCGAAGGCCTTCTACAAGTTCAGTCAAATCAAGTTCACTTACACGCCTCTGGTGCACGGAATCACAGCGTCGACCACACTGGCTTCTCCTCACCTACGCCAGGAGTGTTCCCGCCCTTGTCCCTTTGCTTGCACAGGATCTACGGGAACTTGCCTGTTCTACTTGGCTTATTCCAACACATCCTGAATTTCCTTTCATAGCATTGTGGCCATTCTGCTTGTCACGGAATCAGAGTTTTCCTCCACATCATGGATTTCCTATGTTGGTCCTATTTTGCTGAGAAAATAGAAGTAGTCAGTGGAAGGCATGGTTGCCTTCATTGCGTCCAATCTCCATCCGTGCACATATACTCCAACTGTCCTGTTGTTATGGACCCCTCTCCATTCCTGCAGTACATTTCGTGACTTGTCCCACTCAAGGAGATTGCCCTACGGTTCTTCTCTTGCCTTAACTAAGTTTTCCATGTTGATTGGATCCTTTTCACATCAACAAGCAGGCGGTACTTGTTCTCATTAAAAAAATAAAACACTCTCTTGACCTCATAGAACCCCTCCGCCAAGTTATGGCTCTGTTCCTGTTTATACAAAAACGTTTCTTTTTTAAATGTTTATTTTTGAGAGAGAGACAGAGCGTGACCAGGGGAGGGACAGAGAGAGAGGGAGACACAGAATCCGAAGCAGGCTCCAGGCTCTGAGCCGTCAGCACAGAGCCTAACACGGGGCTCGAACCCATGAACTGTGAGATCATGACCTGAGCTGAAGTCAGATGCCCAACCGACTGAGCCACCCAGGCGCCAAAAACTTTTCAAAGAGTTGCCATTCTTAGTGTTTCAAATATTCTTCTACTGTCTCTTGGATGTACTCCAAAGGTGGATTTCAAACCCATGAATCTTCAGGCTCACTGATGACCTTCATTCTGCTGAGTCCAATTCTCAGTCCTCAGCATTGGATACTTTTTCCTTGAAACACTCAATTCGCCTAGCGAATAGCTTCTAAGATGTCACGCTTGATTTTTCTCTTGCTTGCCACCCTCCATTTTCCTTTGCTGGTTCCTTTTCTATGACCTCCAAACATTGGGGTGTTCCAAGACTGTTCCGTCACACACACACAAATATATTTTAATATTTTATTAAAAAAATTTTTATTTATTTATTTTGAGAGAAAGAGAAAGAGAGAGAGAATGAATAGGGTAGGGGCAGTGAGAGAGGGAGAGTGAATTCCAAGCAGGCTCCATGCTGTCAGCTCAGAGCCCGAGGTGGGGCTCAAACTCATGAACATGAGATCATGACCTGAGCCGAGATCAAGAGTCAGATGCTCAACCGACTGAGTCACCCAGGCGTCTCATATTTAACATTTTATTTTTTGAGTAATCTCTACACCCAACATGGGGCTTGAACTCACAGCCCTGAGATTAAGAGTCACACGCTCCCACCAACTGAGGCAGCCAGGCGCCCCCCTCCCCAGTTTTGTATTCTTAACTAGATTTCTCACCTGGACTCCAAACACATTCAGTCACCAACTTGACAGCCATCCATTTGGATGTCTACGTGGCTTCTCAAATATAACATGTCCAAATCAGAATTCGTGCATTTCCTCTCTAAGCCAGCTGCTGCTTAGGTTCTCTGTCTCGGAAGAGGGCACCCCGATCCTTCCAGCAGTTCAGGTTGAAATTTTTGGATTTATCCTTGGCTTTTATTGGTCTCGCATCTCATTTCCAACTTACCAACAAGGCTCTACTGTCAACGTAGAAATTTGGACGGCGGGTCCCTCTCCATTCCTACAGTACATTTCATGACTTGTCCCACTCAAGGAGACTGCGCTACAGTTCTTCTCTTGCCTTCTACAAAGTGTACCTGCCTGTACTCTTCAAATATATCAAGATACGGAAGCTCAAGGAAAGGGGGAGTGGCTACTGTTGTAAGTGAGAAGAGCCTTAAAGAGACATGACAACTAAACATGTAATCCATGGTTGGAACCCTGTATCCATACGCGTGTGCATGCGTGTATGTGAGCACCTGTGCATGTGGGTATGCGAGCACGTGCATATGCATGTGAAGGCTATACAGGATTATTAGTGGGACAACTGGGAATCATGGACATGTGTTGGCCAGCACGGCAGCCACATGTAGCTTTGGAGCACGTGAATGTGACTAATCTGAATTGAGCTGTGCTGTAAGTATAAACTACATACTGGATTTCGAAGACTTAGTATGAGGGGAAAAAAAAGAATGAAGGTGCCTGGGTGGCTCAGTCAGTTAAGTGTCCAACTCTTGATTTTGGCTCAGGTCATGATGTCATAGGGGAAGGGGCAGAGAGAAAGGGAGAGAGAGAGAGAATCTCAAGCAGACTGCATCATCGGTGTGGAGCCCAGTGCAGGGGCTCAAACTCACCAACCGTGAGATCCTGACCTGAGCCGAAATCAAGAATTGGTTGCTTAACCAACGGAGTCACCTAGACCTCCCCCAAAATGTATTATTAAAGTTAACTTCCCCTATTATTTTTACTTTTTAAAATCTATTAGAAAAAAAATTAAAAATAAATTGTGTCTGCTAGTAAAATCTAAAACCCCAAGCCTGGCTCCTCTTCAAGGCCATTGTACTTATTGTCACCTCTTCTGCCTGGGGATATTCACGTGGTTCACCCCTCAGTTCCTCAGGTCGTTGCTCAAATGTAATTTTCTATTAGGCCTTCCTCGAACACCCTCTTCAAACTTGTGACCTTTGCCATGTCACTTCTCCCTTCCCCCACCTTGTGCAATTATGATCGCCTTCCCTGTCTTTCCCTCACCAGAATATGAGCCCTGTGAGGGCAGAGATTTTTTTTGTTGTTTTCTCTTCACTGCTGTATCTGCAGTGTCAAGAACGGTCCCCAGGGGGCGCCTGGGTGGCTCAGTGGGTTAAATGGCTGACTTCGGCTCAGGTCATGGTCTCACCATTCACGGGTTGAAGCCCCGCGTTGGGCTCTGTGCCGACAGCTCAGAGCCTGGACCCTGATTCAAATTCTGTGTCTCCCTCTCTCTCTACCCCTCCCCGACTCGTGCTCTGTCTCTCTCTCTCTCTTGCTCAAAAATAAATAAACATTAAAACAATTAAAAAAAAAAAAAAAGAACAGTCCCCAGTATATACCTTATTCATAGTAAGTATGCAAATAAACAAACAAAACTTGTTGAATAAATGAGAAGTAGAGATCAGGTTTGTAGCAAACAATTTGTTTCTCACACAAAGCATACTTAGAATTTCTCAAAATCAAGAGAATATTAATAAGAGATATTATCTCCAGGAAAATTTCAGGGATAAAAATATTTCTCTTTGACTAATTTGCTTTTCGAATATAGTAAGAAGGGCTGGTGTTTTCTGCCGAGTTGGGGTTTACGGTTTTCCTTTACCATCTTGTAAAGTTAAGGAAGACAATTCAGTTAAACAGTATAGCAATAAACCTTCCTTGTAGGAGAAAATTTTTCCTGCTGACTCAGTTAAAGGAATCACTGGTATTTAATAGCGTCAGTGGGTGAATACTCTCCCAGCTGAATGCTGGGGTCTCCTCTGTGATGACACGGGTGGGGTGTGGGCTGGGAACACACAAATGAAGGCTCTTAGCATCCTCAAGGGGCTTGTGGTCTCTGCTCACGGATACCACAGTTCTGAAACACAGCTCTTTTTCTCCAATTAGCTTTACAACAAATTGAGAGGTAAACATTATTAGCTTCATTTACAAGTGAAGGAATTTCAAGATGAGAAATTCAAGTTGCGAAATGAGGCACCCTGTGCTGTAGAAACGCCAGCTTAAGAAGGGCATGTGAAAAACAGAGCAGACTCTGTGCATAAGACTAACAATTCAAAAATAATTTTTATTTTAACTTACATGATTGAAAGAGTGATGGATACAAATGCCACGAGACTAAAGGCACCCCCTCTGAGTGAAAATAAAATGCAGAAATGAATACAAAAGTACGTAATTAATTACTCATGCAATATTCAAAAAATTAGAAAACAAAAACAAAGCTAACAAAAAACTCTGTAACATTTGTGATTTGACTTTCTACAAAAAGAATCAACCATCTAACAGAGACTATAGGCTACAGACTATACATGCTAAACTACAGACTGTACAATGTACCTTTAAAATGAAGGATATATGCATATATATAATATTTATAAATATACAAATATATATACACATTATAACTTCACAGTTGAAAGAACTATTCGCCAGGAAGTCTGGCAAACAATTCTTACTTTAAAATGGATTAAGAGTTGTTCTTAAAGGTCTTGCTAAAATGTAAATATTTAAAACGACACCTAAATATTTGATACGAACACATCCAGAATACAGTTGATATTCCACGGTTGAAATCACACTCACACATTTTATTTTGATATCTTGGCATATCCCACCGTGTATACTCTTAAGAGGAAGGAAAGTTAGTACGAGCTATCTAGTGGTCTTGTACTTTATTTAGTGGAATTGCTCCCCTGATACAGAAACAGTAAGGGGAGCTGCTGTTTTAACTATTTGGCCAAGAGATCCCACCCAGTGACAAGTGATTTCTCTGGGGCAGTAACTGTCTCTTGTGCCTCCTCCCTCGGCACATTCTTCCTCCTAATCTCATGGTAATTCCTGTAGAAGCAAGGACCACTTGTGAATCTCCTTCTGCTCCCGCCCCATTAAGATTCCTCTAAGTGCCCAGTTCTACGACCCCAAAGAGCATCACAGCTTTCTGATTCCATGAGTTTTTGTTTTGATTTGTCTTAGCAGCAAAATACCTCTGTTGTAAAAGTATCATAAAAAAAAAAATGGCTCGTGTTCAAAAAAGCTTCAACTTCAAATGTCTTTTTTTAAGGAGTACGGGTATCATCTTAGACATCAACCTGTCTTTTATCCATCACGGAAACATGCTTTGGGAATGGTCAGGATGGAGAAAAGAAACAAAAGAAGTAATGGAGGCTTGGAAAAAAAATGAAGTTAAAAAAAAATTTAAACTCTTACAATGTGTCATTTTACCGAGTTCCGCGGGCAAACTGTTATTCGAAGAAATTCTTTTTTGTGCTTTGCATTTAAGGTAAAATTAGGTAGCTGGTGGGGCCCCTCAACCCTCAGGACACGACGGGGAGACACCGCAAGGCGTGTGATAGTCATCAAAGTATCATGTGACGATTTTAGGCTTAGAGAAGAACTTCCAAAAAAGTACAAAGATGGCTGTTTTAAAATTCCATACATACGAGATAAGATGGACGCTTCTACCAAGTATCGTCAGACGCAATCGACACCGTCATCTACGGAGTCATATTGGCCCTATTCTATCGGCCAAAGGAAAAGTAGATAGGTACTATGACGCTCGACTTTGACTTCTATCTATGACGTGTTAAATTTCCAGACAACCTCAGCAGAACTCTTCAAGGTTTAAACACGCCCGCTAAATCCCAGCACCATCTTGATGAACAGGGCCATTTTATTAAGATGGCTGTTGGGCAGAGCTCATTAAAAGGCCGTGGCAACTTCAGCCCCATGACGCCCTCCGGCGTTAACACGGTCTCGAGGAAATTTGTCCAGCTGTTCGTACGCCAGCCGCCCATCTTCTCCTGCGCGCAGAACATCAAAAATAAACACCAGTTTAACCTTCTTATTCATCACTCAGGGTAACGAATTGAAACCAGTTGTTTGGGAATGGATTGCTATATCTGCTAATGTTAACTTTAGTAAGGAAAGTCATCTTCTGTAACTCTTAATTATGTTGTTTCCTGGTACTGTTTAGAAGAGCCGGGGCGCCTGGGTGGCGCAGTCGGTTAAGCGTCCGACTTCAGCCAGGTCACGATCTCACGGTCCGTGAGTTCAAGCCCCGCGTCGGGCTCTGGGCTGATGGCTCGGAGCCTGGAGCCTGTTTCCGATTCTGTGCCTCCCTCTCTCTCTGCCCCTCCCCCATTCATGCTCTGTCTCTCTCTGTCCCAAAAATAAATAAAAAACGTTGGAAAAAAAAAAAAATAGAAGAGCCAAGAACTTTTTTTTTATACTCAAAAAAAGAAAAAAAAATTCCAGGGGCGCCTGGGTGGCTCAGTGGGTCGGGCGTCCCACTTCGGCTCAGGTCATGATCTCACAGTTCATGGGTTCGAGCCCCGCGTCGGGCTCTGTGCTGACAGCTCGGAGCCTGGGGCCTGCTTCGGATTCTGTGTCTCCCTCTCTCTGCCCCTTCCCCGCTCGTGCTCTGTCTCTCTCTCAAAAATAAATAAAGATTAAAGAAAAGAATTCCAGTGTAGTGAACCTACAGTGTTCTATGTTTCAGTTTCGGGTGTACAATACAATGATGCAACAATTCTATACATTACCCAGTGCTCATCAAGATAAGTGTGCTCTTAATCTCCCTCACCTATTTCACCCATCCCCCTTCCACCTCCCCTCTGGTAACCATCAGTGTGTTAACTGTAGTTAAGAGTTGGCTTTTTGGTTTGTCTCTTTTTTCCTTTGTAGAACAACCAAGTACTTTTGAGTTAATGCCAGAGACTAAAATAACGTCAGCGTGTGGAACAGTTGAACTCCTAGGGGCATTTAATGGCAATAATTTCACACATAGATTTCTTCCTGAGAAACCATATGGATTATAAGTGTCTTAGAGATTTCAGAATGGCTGGTCCTTGACTTCAAGGCATTGAACTTTGATATAGCTTTTACTTTTTTACGTTATATATTGACATATCCAAAGGGTCTTTTATAAAAGCCAAATTTAGCTACACTTTAGCTACTAGAAAACTTTAGCTAAAAAAAATTACCCTTGGCCTTGGACACATGTGGTGATGCCATCTACCAGCTAGTAACTAGGTCACGTCTGCCAGTAGAACCATCTCGAACAGCCAACAGGTATTTGCAAGTTACCTGAACATTCCATTCTATTTTTTTCCTATTTAAAACAATGATTAGGAAACAGGGAAAACAATCACAGAGAAGTAGTGATAAGAAGCAGGTTTTGGGGCGCCTGGGTGGCGCAGTCGGTTAAGTGTCCGACTTCAGCCAGGTCACGATCTCGCGGTCCGTGAGTTCGAGCCCCGCGTCGGGCTCTGGGCTGATGGCTCAGAGCCTGGAGCCTGTTTCCGATTCTGTGTCTCCCTCTCTCTCTGCCCCTCCCCTGCTCATGCTCTGTCTCTCTCTGTCCCAAAAATAAATAAACGTTGAAAAAAAAATTAAAAAAAAAAAAAAGAAGCAGGTTTTCACGTATTTAATACAAGAGAGACAAAGCTGGGAATAATGAGTTGTGCTCAGTCAGAAGTTCATTAAGAGGGACACCTGGGTGGCTCAGTCGGTTAAGCTTCCCACTTGGGCTCAGGGCATGATCTCACAGTTCATGGGTTCAAGCCCCGTGTTGGGCTCTGTGCTGCCAGCTCAGAGCCTGGAGCCTGCTTCGGATTCTGCGTCTCCCTCTCTCTGCCCCTCCCCAGCTCACATTCTGTCTCTCTCTCAAAAATAATAAACATTAAAGATAAAAAAGAAGTTCATTAACAAAAAAAGTAAAAAAAGATTCGTGAAACGCTAGAAATACATTGAGGTCAGTGAGTTTTTGAAAAGCAGTGTAATGGTGGATTTTATAATATATCGTAGTCTCTGGAAACAGAAGCCTCTCAATCAACTAAAGTTTGTCTTTTAGAGGGGTAGATTTAATTTTTTCGGTGATACATCACATATCAAAGGAGAGAGTCACCCGCACTTATAAGAACTTAGCGAACCTCTCTAGACAAAGGCCGCCACATTTTAGAGATTTCTGTAGATTGTTTTGTCATGCCTTGTTGACTTTTCTGAGGCAAATGCTCTTTTTTTCCCCTAATTCAGTAATTTTTACTTTTTTATTACTTTGGAGTGGAATCCTTTTTTGAGACAAAATATTTGCACAAACCCCTGACATATAAAACATTAAACACAGCACCTTTCCAGGTGATGACAGCGGGGCGGGGCGGGGGGGGGGGTTGGTAGAGAGAGACAGAATTAGGCACATTCATACCATGGCACACAGCCTGAATGGCTTGGGTAACTAACGCTATTTAGAACCCAGTGAATACCCGGCCCGTTCCTAGCATGTGCATGGCTATATCCCAATTTAGAGGTGTGCAGTCCTTCCCCAGAGTCCCGCAGAGTGTGGGTGCCCATAAGTGAGTTATGCCTCAATGGGCCCTTCTGCAAAATGGGACTAACTGCCCTTCTCCCTCGTGCAGTCCTTCAGAAGATAAAATGCGCTAACTCATGCAGGTCCCTCAAAACAGTGCCCGGCACAGAGCGAATCCTCTACGGGTGTAACCCCGCATCACTGCAGAGACACAACCAGAGCTGGGATGCCGGGGCCTCTTACTCTAACGTTGTTTTCCGTGGGCGTTGATCTGCATTGGCCCCTCCTCTGGTCTTTCAACAGCCCTGGGAAGCAGGCAGGTGTTGGAGGAGAAAGGGCCTGAGCTTTGGCACACGGGGCAGTGTGCTTTCAACAGGTCTGAGGCCCAGCCGGACGGGTAGGTGGCCACAGCTACGCAGACAGCAGTGGGGCAGCGGCCTCAGGTGGCAATTTACATGTAAACGGTAATGACTCAAAATTAAATACAGTTAACCTTCAGTTCCTCACTTACAGAAGCCACTAATTCCACAGCAGCCGTCTAGGACAAAGAGACCGGCCCCCAAATCACAGGGGGACCTACCAGACACAATTACCAACTCGGTCATCTGGGTGAGTTAAAAACACACCAGTGTTTGTGTATTAAGGTCAAAGGAGATTCATAACATCGGGTTCGAGCATCGGTTACATCTTAGAATCACCTGGGGGGCTTTGAACCGTCCCAGCACCCAGGCATACCCCAGCCCACTGAAATCAACCTTCGGGAGTAGAACCCCGGGCATGAGTGTATTTGAGAGCCTCCTTAGTGATTCCAATGTGCAACTAGTGTTGGGAACATGAGCTGGTGGTGTGAGGGGGGCATGGGGACCGGGGGGAGCCCCGCAGGTGAAGCAGGTGTGACCATCGCTCCTGGAGATGCTGTTTGTGCCGCTGAAGTGACTCCTGGGGCACATCTGGCGGGGACAGGCTTCTCTGGGTCACACTGGATAAGGAAGCGTCGCTGAGTTGTGCAAACACTTGGCTTGTCTTCAGTGTTAGCCCAGAACACGATGGGATAAAAGAGGTTCAAACTAATAATACCCTGGGCATGTGTTTAGGGAATTAAAGTTGTATGCCTAAAGCAGCCGTAAGGAATCACTGTTTTTTTAAATTTTTTTAATGTTAATTTTATTTTTGAGAGAGAGAAAAGGGGAGGGGAGGGGCAGAGAGAGAGAGGGAGACACAGAATCCGAAGCAGGCTCCAGGCTCTGAGCTGTCAGCACTGAGCCTGATGTGGGGCTCAAACCCACGAACCGCGAGATCATGACCTGAGCCAAAGTCGGACACTCAGCCAGCTGAGGCGCCCTCAGCACCAGGCGCCCCTTACCCAAATTTGTTTTAAAATTTTGTTAACGTTTATTATTAAGAGACAGAGAGAGACAGAGCATGAGCAGGGGAGGGGCAGAGAGAAGAGGAGACACAGAATCCGAAACAGGCTCCAGGCTCTGAGCTGTCAGCACAGAGCCCCATGTGGGGCTCGAACTCAAGAACCTGAGATCATGACCTGAGCTGAAGTGGGATGCTTAACTGACTGAGCCACCCAGGTGACTCAAGGAATAACTGTTTTATCCTTTAAACAAACATGTGCTGGCTTGGATTTCTGTGGATCAAATGATGTATTCGTTAGCAGAAGGAAGTGTCATTAAACCAGTAACTGTAAGAAAGAACACCTACAACAACGAATGTGATTTGCACGGTGATTATAAATGCCACGAGATTCTGCCTTACGTTATTAAGCAACTATAGCCTAACCAGGGTGGCTTCTTTCCAACTAGTATTATTAGCCGGATTATATTTGAGGACTTTTAGAAGCATAGTTTTTGCACATTAAGAGCGGTTGCAGTAGTAAAATTACAACTGTCTCTATCTTTTATGCAGGTCAGAACAGCCTCTCTCTGCCCCCTGCACTCCCCCGAAAGAACAAAGGTGTGAAACCTGGTAGGCAGGTGCCTTTACAAGGTGAAGTGGGGAGGGGGGTTTATCTGGCTATTCCAGCATTCAAGAACCACACTTCTTTTCTCCGGTGTCAGGACTCAGCTGGGCACAGGTCAGCGGGGCAACCAGAGGCTAACCTGCGAGGCAGGGTGAGGAGGGGACTAGTGTGCCCGCCGTGCCTGCCGCCTCAGCCAACCGCGGCCCCTGGAGTCCCAGCCCAAGCTCGCCAGCCCCCCTGGATCCCTGACTACTGCCTCTGCTTTAGGTTCGAGTCTACGTCCTGGCCTCCAAACAGCACAGGCTGATCAGCCTGGCGGGGCTCCCGAGAGCAGCACTCCCCCAGCTCCAGGCGGTGAGAACCGGGCATTGGAGGGAGATGGGAAGCCACCAGTTCCTCATAGTGTGTGTGTGTGTAACGTGCCCTGTGCGAGTGTGCGATGTACCTTGTGTGAGTGTGACCTCCCCTGTGTAAGTGTGAGTGACGTATGCCATGCGAGCACGCGTGTGATGTCCCCTGTGCGAGTGTGATGTCCCAGGTGTGTGACGTCCCATGTGTGAGCATGAGTGTGAGCAGCGCCCCCCGGGGGAAGGCGCTCCCGCGGCGCCCACGAACCGTCTGGGCCCAGCTCCCTTGGAGAGCACCAGAAGGAAACAACTGTGTAAGCGAAACTCACCGAGAGACAAGAGGGTCTCCGAGGCCACGTTTCTGATTTCCTCCGTGTCGCACTGACACAAAGTCACCAGCATCTTAATGCTTTCGGTGGCCTGCGAGGAGAGAGCCGTTAGTGCTGCGACACCCACGGCGGGGCCACAGGGGCGGTACTGTCTTGCGCAGGGTTCCCCGGGCCCGCTGAGCGTCCGGCTCCTGAGGCGCTCTTTTAAAGGAACACATTCCGCGCCGTCCCTCCAAGATGCACGGGATTCGTCTCCCGGGATGGCGCCTGGGCCGCGCACCTGCAGGAGCTCCAACAACGCGCGTTTGGAAGGGGAGTGGCCAGCCTGTCCTTCCAGAACAGGATCCCCTTCTCCGAGCTCTTTCCCACGCGCCTCACGGGTTCCAACCCAGTGCTCAGCTAAGGACTCTGTGTTTGGCTTGTGTGCCCAACGGGAGGACAGCCAGAGCAGGTGGTCGGAACCCTCGTGTCTGTCCATCCCACACGTATCAGCGCCCCAGGGACCGGGCAGTCGGCCAGGCAGCGAGCGGGGCTCGGTCCTGACCCCCCAGGGTTTCCGGTCCAGCGGAAAGACAGACGGTGGGACAATGACAGGCGGGGACACGGTGCTCGGGCAGAACAGAGCTGGGAAACGTCATCTGGTCTGACCTGGAGAATCTTCACAGAGGAAGCGGTGTCTTAGGGCAATTAGCCACATTCGGGTAAGTGGTAGGTGTGTGTGTGTGTGTGTGTGTGTGTGCGCACGTGTGCATGTGTTGGGCGGTGTGGGGCAGGAAATGCATTCCAGGCGAGGGGAGCACCTCCTACCAGGACCCCAATCAAGGAGGGGCCTTACAAGCCACATTAAGTGCTTTGAACTTCATCCTTAGCATCCTGGAGAACCACATAAGAGCTTTAGAAGCGGGATTTGTGGGGTGTTTTGTTTTGCTTTTACTTATTGATTTTGAGAGAGCTAGAGAGCGAGCAGGGGAGGGGCAGAGAGGGAGAGCGCGAGAATCCCAAGCGGGCTCCGCGCCGTCAGCGCAGAGCCCCATGTGGGGCTTGAACTCACGAACCCTGAGATCACGACCGTAGCTGCGATCTCGAGTCTCACCCTTGACCCACAGAGCTACCCGGGGCCCGGGACTCGTGCTATAGTGAGAGCAGCCTCACTGCAGCAGAAAGCGCGCACGGAAGGCGTGGACTCCGCGGGGGCAGAGGCCGGCGGGAAGGCGGCTCC